CCTGGAAGAGACCCACATGCAACCCAAAACCCACAGGGTTGTAAAGGAAAATGGTCTTCCACAGGTGATTCTCAGGTTCCTTGTTAATCTGAAGGTGAGGAGCCACCTCGCAGGCTCCTTTCCTAAAACTGCTATGCAAGTGCTCCTTTCCCCGTGGCGCTCACGGCCCTCTCTCCGGCGCAACGCGCGCTGGGCGCTCCGTGCTTTCCTCTCACCTGGGCGCTCCGTGAGTCCGCACAAACAATCCATGCGCATCCGGACTGGAATATTCGCCGGTGGGATGTGGGTGGGTGGTGTTAAATGGGTTTGGAGATATTCCAAGGATCAATGATTGTTATATGGTTTAATGAAGTTTCATGTTCCATATGCATTGATTGTCGGGATGGTTTAATGAAGTTTCATGTTCCATATATTGTCGGGAATGGTCATCTGATAGGACTTCGACCCCGACCTCGATTCCAAGACGACACCCTCAAAGGCGGTCGTCTTGCAGGCAGTTGTGGGTATAAAGAAGAAATCATCCTATGTACAAGGGTAATGTAGACTCTTGCTGATATTTCAACCACCCATCGGAGTTTTTACAATCGAAACGGGGGGGTCCTTCATTCATCAGTCTCAGATAGCCTGCGTGGAGTCTCAACCAACATCCAACATCCCATGTGAAGCGTACGCCGACACTCGCCACCCAACACACCCAAGTCACCGGAGTCGAAGAGACCTTGACTTGCGACCGAGCGGGAGCAACGCCGCAAAGGCGGGCCCCAAAAGCGCCAGCGGAAGCGGGGGTGCCTTTTCTGTGTTGTCCACCAGTATAGTACTAGACTCAATACCAACACAGAAAAGGCACCCCAGTACTACACCAACAACCAGTATAGTACGGATATACTGGTGGATATCCTATATGTTTGATCCAATCCACCAGTATATGGATCAAACCACCAAAGGCTGAAGGCCTGGAACAGGTCCTTCTTTCCTCTACCTGGAGTGTCTTTCCTGGACCCGAGTCGAGAACCTCCATGGAAAACCGGTCTTTTTCGGTCCAGGACCGCGGGTTCCGGTGTTCCAGTGCCAGCGTGTCGGCTGGCCCGGCCCTGCTTGAGAAGGCCGGCCCTGCTGGGTGAGTTCAAGACCGCCCTCGAGGTGGAATTTCGTCCCACCATTTTCGTCCCACAGGTAGTTACCTCCGAACTTGGAATCACAAATTAGCCAAGGGATGCCAGGGGACCAAACGATCCAAAAGTATACTACACGATCTCGAGTTACAACCCAAGCTTCAACAGTTCTTCAACATGGCGCACTTGAGGAAAACCCTCCTCGTCCCCTCATGGAACCTCATGGAACACTTTGTTTGATGACCCCTGATCTCCATCCACATCCCGCCTCGATCCACTTCCTGGCTGATGGAGGGTGGTGTTTTTCAATGTGTGTGTCGGGTGGTGCCTACCACGCCAGGCCGCCAGATCTGATTTTTGTGGACTGAAAAGTGGAAGAATTTCTCACATCTCTGTAGCAAACGAGCAACATATACCTGGACTTTCTTTCGGGGTGTCCTGTCTGGAGGTCGCTTAGTGGTCCTAGGGCTTCCATTGGGCACGCCTTGGAAGGTCCTGGTATTTCCGTTGTCTCTCAGAATAGCTCTATAATTCCGGATCAAACATATGATGGCACATAGGAAACACGAAGGCACTGCGTGTTCAAAAGGAATCAGATTGGTACGTACCCAAACACAATCACATGTGGCCTCAGTGGTAGGAGGCAAATGGAGACAAAAGTCTAAAACCTGTCGTCCCATTCTCCTAGAGAAGAGTAACCCACCCGGTCTTCAGGTACCGACTAACCCTCTTCCTCCCCTTCACCAGGCCCGCCCGGCCTCCGGTGCCATCGGAGACTTCGCTCCGCTCCGCGGACACTGCGGACACGACGCGGGACGCGGACGTGACCGGCAGATCCATCGAGCCACAAACGAACGACGCCGCATCTGGAGCCGGAGGCCCAAAGAGACCACGAGGCCTCCAACGAAGATCCGAGGAGCCTCCAATTGAAGCCCAAATTCCTTTCTGAACCCAACTATAGATCCGAGGATGTACGGGCAGTTGGAGATGATGTCACAGGGACAGATGGGCTGCAGGGGCTGCAGATCCAAGGTGTATACCGACCGCGGGTATACTCCTCCTTGGCCTCCTTGGCCTTTTGGGATGCAACATTCAGAATATCATAATATCCATCGTATTTAAGACCACTGAAGCCAGTATCTGCAGAACAGCCGCCGGATCGAATACTAAACCGAGTCCCGTAAACCCAAGGCTCTGCGGGCTCTGCGGCCTGTGTGGGTCTGTGGGTCGAGTGCAGGCCAACATGAATGCCATGGGTACCAGCACCCGACGTCACAGGTCACTATGTTGTTCTACCTTTAAGTCACCAAAAGCTTTATACAGAAGACCTGTTGGACCGTATATGATATATTGAATATTGGTTAACTTGTAATGACCTTTCTATCTGAATTTGGTGGTCACCATACCCACCATACCCAAACTCTCCACGTACACCATGCCATTTATGCAAACATTGACCCCCTAAACCAACCCCACTTATATAGGCAAATGTATCTGACATATACAAATGGCGGGTCTGAGACGGTATGAGAGGTACTTGGGTCGAGTACGAAAGGGCCATGTGATTGCCATCTTTACTTGGACGTATCCTGCAAGATCCTGAAGGATCTAAGATCCTTCAGGGCTGGATCCTGAAGGATCTAAGATCCTTCAGGGCTGCCCCAAGCGACGTCAAAGGGTCGGTCTTTTCTCCGATCCAGCCATGGTCGGCTTGTCCTTCATGTCATATGGAGCCAGTGGTTTCACGTTAGTAAAGAAAGGAGGCTGCTCTCTGGCTGTCCCACCAACCAAACGTGCCCTCTCCCTCGGAAGAAACCTCTGACCTCCTTTGACCCCAGAACTTTTGACGGCAGATTAAATTCGAGAAAACGATCAGTGGAAGCATGAGGAAACTGGTCATGACGCTAATGATCCTGTTGCGATGGGCTGAAGAATCCTGAGGAAGTTCGTTGACAACCATCCGAAACCCACACAGCCAGTTGGCCCTTGAGTGTTCAGGAGGAATTTCTTGAACAGCTGCTCTGAATAGAAGTGGAGTCTTTACCTAAAGACCCGTTTGCGGAACATCATTTCCACAGGGTTGGCTTTCTCAAAACTTGATCGAAAACCACCAACTCCAATGTGTTCTCAAACCGTGTAAACGGCCTGGACTTGTCTCAGCGGCCAATGGTTTCACCATGGACGCTGAGCAAGATTGGAAGCGGTGCACACAAACCTTGTGCGTAGAATTAACAGTCTGGTCGAACTATACCTGGACCATACCATAGCTAATAAGACAGGATAAAGAGAAGAACCGAACAACAGCACGCAGAGTTTTGTAGCGTCATTCAATATATCGCTTTGGGAACCACTCTCATTTCTCTTCTTTCCAAAACGACTGAATGGTATACTTCGACCAGGAAAACGAAAATCGGAGCAGTGTGGCCGCCGCCCTGGTGATGAATTGGTCTTCAGACGAGTGAACTGCCACCGGTGAAGCAAATCACGTTGGACCATCCTAGACCTGGGTGTCCTGGACGGTTTCCAGCCCATGACTTAGGGATCTCTATATCCCAAACACTCCATAAACCTCGGGTTTCCTTTCGATACCTCGGGTTTCCAGCTCAACCCTCTATTTTTTTCGGGTCTGGTTGGTGAAGGTATGTATACCTACATTGACCCCTCAAACCACCCAACTGATCGGCATATATGGCAGTCCCATGGAGTGTCTGGGTATTGGACACCCATGTGATAGTCCAGGTATATAGCGGTCTCCCGGCCGGTGGACCAACCTGTTGAACCACCCCATGGCCTTGGAATGGAAGGGCGATGGGATCCACTGACCGGTGCGGACGTATTGGTCTGGAATCCCCCCCCAAAAAAAGGCACCCCCCATTAGTTGGGATGGTTTACTCTCCAATGTTTACTCATCAACTCTCATCGGGAGTGAAGTTCCATGGCACCATGATGATTCTTTCAGGGAGTGTATCATACATTATCATACTACTTACGATTGGGAGCTATACACCCTTTGAGTGGATTGCAACTTCAACACATACAAAAGAAAACACTGACACATGTGCCTTTGTCCCACCAAACTCATGACCATCAAACCCATCGTGGAGGAGAATTCTCCTCCGTGGAGGCCACACATCGCGCCATCGCCGGGAAGACTGTCTCGACAGAAACTCACTCCCCGTTCTGCGCGTTCTGCGCGGACCACGTGGTCGACGAAAAATGTTGAGGCGGTCCGTGGTATTGGAGTGTTCAAAAGAAGCTACTATATAGTAACAAGCGCATCGCTTCTAGTAACAAGTGCCTTACTAGTAGTAACAAGAAGCTATTAGTAACAAGTGCCTTACTATATACTAGTAACAAGTGCCTTACTAGTAGTAACAAGATGCTACTACTATCTACTACTACTAATTTATATAATTAGAATCAAATGAGGCATGACAACCTGTCCGTGGTGGAAACGGGTGGCTTCAAAACGGAATAGGGCGAGCTGGGGGGGGACCCTGGGACAAAGGACAGTGGTAGACCTACAGCCCTTTTTTGGCTTGTGGTCTTCCTATACTTAATATACGCGATTGACCATAGAAGTGGACATGGTGTTTGTATGTGTTTGTAGTCTTTTATCAGGTAATCAACATGTTCTTCGTTGAGAATCCCCTGGGTTACGCGAACCCTTCAATCCCAATCGAATCCAGTTGATTTGGGCTTGTGTCTTGGGCTTTCAATTCCTGTTTGAGAAACACAGCGGGTTGATTCACTGCTAGCTGCCATGCACTGCCTCTTGCGGATATGTTGGTCCCCATCGAAACAATCCTGCCGCAAAGGACCTCACTGAGCTTCACCGAGTTCCGCAAATGGCGGTTGACACCAATGGCCAGCCGCCGAGGCTGTGTGCTAGCCTCCACAAGTCAACGCGACTTGGACCGTGTTTGGAAAAGAAAAAACACATTGATTTTTGTCTGATCACACGTAAGTTTTTGCTGTGGTAGCAGAATGTCTGTCGGAGCCGTCTAAAGCACAAGACATCATCCCTTCGTCGGGCGGTGCAGGCGAGCACTGCAGGCGAGCACTGCAGGTCGGTGCCCAGCAGTTTCCAGGGCTGTGACTTGGAGAAAAGCACCAAAAGACCTTGTTGGAAAAATGCACAACTGCACCACAGCGTGGCATGATCATCATCACTTCACATCTGAGAGATTCTGAGATTGCACAGTCATAGAACTCTTCTGAAAGAAGAGAGGTTCTTAAAAAGAGGTGTGACTGGAGATGACAGTCTTGGCGTCGTCCCGTCGACGTTCTTGTGACAGTGGGTTCCAGACCCGTTCGACAAATGATCATTCAATGATTACCGTAGACCTACGTTCAACTAGGGGAACCCGAATCCTCAGAAACTCAACCAACCAATAATAGAAAAAGGATGTAAAAGGCCATCTGTGGTGCAGGACATCGAATCTATATATCTAGCGATGGCCTAACCTAATAGCCATAGCAATTGGCCTAACCTAATAGCCATGGCCATCCATGGCCATCCATGGCCTCTATAACTGATCTGCAGCAGATTCTCATTTCGACCTCATGGCGTCCCACCGTGGACCGGTGGCCTCGGAACACGTTCTCCGCCGCCAGGGTGAAGGCGACGAGTGCCGCCTGCCGAGACCGAGACCGAGACGGGTTGGGCGCGGTGGCTCAGAGGATGGGGAAACAACAGGTTTAAAGTGCCGGGAGGAGGGGTCTTTGATGGATTTTTTTGGGGGGGAGGGAGTATCCATTCGACCTTCAGTATCCTTTCCTCGTGACCAGCACAAGGGATTGAACTGTCCTCGTGATTCAGACGAACGAGTCATCTCACCCGCGAAGTCATGACTTCCCCAGCAGTGCTGGGATGGCCCGGGATGGCTCGACCGCAAGTTGGGTGGTTCAGTAGAAGCCCCAAACCGGCGGTCCTGGCATATAAACCAGACCCGCGGAGCTTACGGACTTCATTTGTAACCCCAAACGAGAACATGGTTCATGCATGCAAAAAGCCAGCTGCCAGGGACACTTCAAGCCAATAGGAGTGGTTGTTCGACAATTGCAATATGAAATCTATAGATCAAGAAAACCTTGATCCAATCGTCCCATGCAAACCATTGCATTGAGCCATGCTTTCATTTTTCCTTGGGTGCCTCAGTGCCTCCCAAGTAAAAATCGCTACAAAAAAAAGAGCTTCGAACAGAACGACGATGAACGACGGAGTGTCGATCAGGGCATGTCCCGCCATGTCAGGGCCTCTCGACAGGGCAGGTGCAATGGTTCCACCCTCGTCATGCTGCGGAAGAACCTGGGCCGGTCTCGCGCGGAAGCACCGCGCGCGACCGCGACCCCATCGGCCGAGTGGGGTCTTCACCGTGAAGATAAGGTTGAGCGAGGTGAGGCGAGGAAAGTGTTTGGTGGGTGGAGAGGTGGTGCGACTCTTCTGTCTTCATACCAGTTACCGGATGCCGAACGAACGGAGAGAAGTGGCCCCCACATCCGCCCCGCCACGGACTCAACAACACCCCGATCATGTGACTCCTGGCGCGCTGCAGCGATTTTGGGGGGTTCACCTGGCTGGAAGCCCCAAGCCTTACAGCCAGCACACACCTTCCAGGTCCAAGTCCCAAAGTCCGTTGTTGCAACGACCGTGTTCCATGTCTCAAAGACCTGATGCAAAACACGTCCAAAATCACGAGACCCCTCACAGGGTGAACTCATCTGTGGGCAGGCCTAGCATCCAAGAGAGGCCCAGCAACCCTGAAAGATCCAATTCAGTCCAGCACCCGCAAAAACAGGCCCAACAACCTTCGACCAGCACCCCCACCCCCCAAAAAAGAAGAAAACACTTCATCCAGGACCAACAGATACTCGTTCTGATGGGTTGTTGGGTCTTTTCACTGAATTGGTGACCTGTGGAGTCGGGTGGAGGCTGCTGGAATGTTGTCTTAACATGGACAAATGGATACCCAAAATGAAGTGTTTATCGGATTCTGGAGGAACACTGAAACGTTGAGAGTTCCAAATAAGCCATTTCAGGGACCATGTTGGTTGTTGGAAGGGCATTCATGATATTTCAAGTGTTGAGCGTATTGAGTTGGAGAACTGCAGCAACATGCCTGGCAGATGCACCCATGAAATCACGTATCTTTGGACTGCATCTGTCCAAAATGTTCAAGCCCCATCAGTCCACAAATTCTTTGCTTAAGAAAGCATCGCGCATTCACCCCAGAAACGTTTGAAAAGCAAAATGTTGAGAGAGTTGCGCAGGCAGTCGCACATAAACTGCACTATTTCTATACCAGGACCTTCCAAGAGGTATCTATAAATGCCTCTTTAGGGGTTAAGGGGTGTCCAAAAAACACCTGTTAGAAGGTCCTGGTACAGATATAATTCCTTGTCCACAAATTCATCCTTGCATTTTGGAGTAGGTGCGGCATGTCCAGCTTCGAGACAATTCTTGCTGAACCCCCCCAACAGATCAGCAGCCCCCTGAGATCTCAGGCCTCTTTCGGACAGAAACAACTGAAAAACTGACGCCCCACACCTGAGGGTAGTCTGATCAGAGGAGAGCTCCACCTAGGTTCCAAGGAGCTCTGTCAGGGTCTTGTGGTGACTGACTAAGGGATTTTTGTTGAACAGTTCCGTGCCGTTTCTCTTTGGTTGGGTAAACTGTGCCATTTCTACTTCTGTTGTGCCGTTGTGCCTGGCGATGCGGTGATGCCTCGAGCCTTCAGTGGAGTCGACCAGATGGCTGATGCATCCAGTTCTGAACTGCGGCCGAACAAGACACCGCAGAGCGCGAAAACATGTTCCACCTGAAAGCAGTGGATCTCTTGAGGACAAACAGAACACCCCAGATGCTCGTGTGAACCCCTTTAATGGGTAGTTTTGCTGTTCTTTCATTAGATGTGTGATCTATTTAAGGAGCTTGATGGCATGGATCCCTCTCTCTCTCTCGCTTGCCTCATGGGATCTCATGGGGAAACTGCCATGCCGTTTCGTGAACTGAATGGACTGAGTCGAAGGTCCAACCAACTCCAAAACAGAACGATCCCCACCATGACCTGGTACACCCTCGGGCCGCCGGACGCGGGTGAAGGGTCCCTTGAGGCGCCAAGTCTCTTCGGGAGGAGGTTCCACCAACTCCACTCCTGCGACGGCAGGGTTGTTTGGCACCCACACAGATCGCAAGTTGGTCAAACAACATGCTCAGGTAGGGGGTAGGAGGGTATTTTTGAGCAGTTTCAAGGGAAACCAGAACACAAGGTGGCTAAGCGAGTCTTGCGGTCAACACCTAATCTGATGTGGGTCTGGACGGGGGGGTCCTCCGGGGACTTCAGCATCATCGGGGACATGGGGACTTCAGCATCACAACATTGTCATCGATCACAACATTGTTATCGTCACATTCGATCACAGCATTGTCATGAGTCATGACCACAACATTGTCATCGATTAGTCGTGTGATTAAAATGGGGTGGGGTGGGTGGGGTTGCGGGGGGTCGGTGTGCCACAACATTGTCATTGATCACAACATTGTCATCGATCACAGCATTGTCATGACCACAACATTGTCATCGATTAGTCGTGTGATTAAAAATGGGTGGGGGGGG